TATTATACATCCTACACACGTATTAAAACACCACCCTCTTTCCTATAAATATGTACACTTACTGTGTCAATTAAAAATATAGGGCCAGGGATTCAGCTCAGCGGTTTGGTGGCCTGCCTTGCAAGCGCAAGGACCTGAGTTCAATCCCCGGTACCAAAAAAAAAAAAAAAAAAAAAAAAGTATTTAATTAAAAATGAAAATTTGGCTCAGTGGTGCCGCTGCCTGCCTTGCAAGTGCAAGGGCCCGAATTCGATCCCCAGTACCCCAAAAATAAAAATAAAATGAAAAAGAATCAGACATATTCAGCTATGCTTTGTCTATAGCATAGATCAAACTAACAAGTAGAAATTCCATATGAATTTTGCATAAATAAAATTTTATTCTTAAGGTTTTTTTAAAATGTAAAATTATTCTAAAACTTTTTCACATTGTGGACTCATAATCAAATAATTAAATGGTTTTAGAGTGTCACTATCAGACATTTGAATGAAATAGGGTGGAAAAGATATAAAATGTTAAGGAGTTTCACATGTCATAAAATAGGATTGTTTCACAAAACTTTGAGTTCATTTGCAGATCCATAAACACATTATATATATGTGTGTGTATGTACTGGGCCACATCATAAACTATATTTCTTACTATGTTCACAGTGAAATTTTTTGAAAAATGTACTATGAATTGTTTCTGAAGAAAACACTATGGTCTTGAAAATAGTAATTGGTCATGAGGAATATATACAGTGAAGGCTTGTGTTCAGTTTTGCATGATCCCACCTAGTCTGTTGCTCTCAGTTGAGGACATGCTTTCCCACTTAACAATAGAGTACATTGTTGCTCATGGGTCATGTGGGTATGTCTGGGGACTACAGCACCAGCCTCTCTAAGAACCTCTTAGATCTTTTTTTTTTTAGAACTTCTTAGATCAATAGCATAAGCAAAACCTTTTTCTCTGTCTCTTCTGTCTCTTCTGTTGCTGTCACACACACACACACACACACACACACACACACATTTTCCCTGTACTGACTTGGACACTGCAATTAGGTTCATGGACCTTTTAAAAAACATGAAGGAAAACATGAGCATTTTAGATGTTTATGACAGAAAGGGTTGTGTATGACTATCTGACCCAATGCTCATGATTAGGCAAAGATATTGAAACTTAAGAGTGCTAAGCTGTGTTTTCTGAGTCACACAAAAGATTAGCTAAAAACTAAAAATGTCATGGTGTTGTCAGCCCTATGATTTAAAAGAATTATGTATTAAAGAATATGATTAATTTGCACTGTGGAAAAATTAGAATGCACAGATTAAGGCTTGATATAGCTCAGTAGCACACTTGCCTAGCATGCACGATCAGAGGATATGGGAATTTAGGGGCAAGGGTTATTTTACACCAAGCCTGTGGAGGGAGGAGAGGGACTGAAATTTGAGAGGACATGTGGAGATAAGAGCATCTGAATCTGAGGATCTTCAAGAAGCTAAGATTTTTTAACAAGACAGGGATTTTCTGCCCCTACTAAAAGAGTCCTTGGCCCAGGCTGGCAAGAAACTGGCATGACAAGATTGAGCAAAGCAAGATTGTCTCACATATTTACGCCTGTGCTTAGTGTATTCCATAACTTCTCTGCTAGGGTGGAGTGAGCAGGTAAAAAGTTGAACAATCATGGAGGTCAGTTGCCTAAAATTACCATGATAGAAATCTGTTGTGGTAGACAGGCTGTGGGGTCATGGGAAAAACCTGTCCCACCCTAAACCAGGATGTGTGCACACAAACGCAGTTTCCTACCTGATGCCATTGGCTCTTCTGAGTCAATTCCCCACATTCTGGGCCTCCTATGGGTCTCCTCATTTGTGGCCATCTCACCAAGTCCCACTCGACAGGGAGGATATGCCTGTCACAAGACCTCCTTTGATCTTTGGGGATATTTCAGGAAAACACCTGGAGAATGTTGGCTTACCAGGCCTGGGCCTATGTCTCTCTGCCCTTAAGACCAGCTAGAGGCTGGGTTTTTATTACTTAGGCACAGACCACCTTTCTGGGGTCAGGGGGACTATGCTTCTTCCCATCTGGGATGTCTGCAGCCTTCTTTCAGTGGACACTCTGCTGAACACTGGGGTTCTGTCAGAAGAAGAAGCAAGACCGACCACCACTTTCTCCTGGCTTAATAGAATGCTGACTGATCCTGAATTTCCTCAGGAACCAGGAACCCTGTCCCTCATACCATATTAAGAAAACCCAGCACTTCCTGCTATGATAGTAGCTCTTGGATCCTCTTTTGGAAATAGGATATGGAGATGCCATCTTCTATGGGATAGTAGGCGGCCAAATATAGGTCCACTCCATCCACTCAGGGCAACCTCTTTGTCTTACTGCTTTTCACGTCTCCCCTCCCATCCCCTCCCATCCCCTCCCAAATTGAGCGGATGGGAGGAGTTCCCTCACTGAGTTCTAGGAGGTCAACCCTGCCTTGTTCCTCTGTCTCAAGCCCGCTGCTCTTGCTCAGGTTCCAGCATTCTTACATTGACTTATAAGACCTTATACCATCTGGCCCCTAACTGCTTTTATATCATCCTTGACTACTTTCTCCCTTGACTACTCTGCCTCAGGTTTACTGGTCTTATTATTCATCTAACAGGATGGGCATGCTCGCTCCACCCTCAAAACTGCATTAGTTGTAATTTCTGACTGGTAATTGCTCAGAAATTCCTCTTCCTTAGTTATTCGTGTGACTTACTATCTCCTCTACCTGTAGTCCTTGCTCATGTTAATTTTTTAGTGAGACTTCTCTGAACTCTTATTTAAAACTGTACTCCCACTCATGTCTTCCCTAAACCCTTACCCTGATTCTTTGCATTTTGTAGTCACCTACTACATGCTATATTTTGTGTTTTTAAGACAGGGTCCCACTACATTTCAGGCTGCCCTTGAACTCACCATGTAGCCCAGGCTGGCCTCAAAATCTCAGTGATCCTCTTGCTCAGTCTCGCAAGTGCTGGGATTACAGGTGTGCACCACCATGCCTGGCTACATACTGTATTTTTAACTTATTCTTCTTTTCTCTCCCTTCTGAGCACATTCCCAATATAAACTCCCTGGGAGAAGTTTTTTCCCCCTCTTTGGTTCATTGCTGCATTCAAAATGCCTATGAAGGTGCTTGATAAACTGGGCATACTGGTGCACACTTGTAATTCCAGCACTCAAGTAGCTGAGGCAGGGCTGGGGATTTGGCTCAGTGGTTCTGCCACCTGCCTTGCAAGCGCAAGGTCCCGAGTTTGAACCCTGGTACAAAAATAAAAAGAAGCTGAGGCTGGAGGATTACAAGTTTGAGGCCAGCCTGGACTACATATATATAGTAGCATCAATATTTGTTGAAGGAATGAAAGAATGTGTAAAATGACTACCATTCATTCTCCAGCTTGGCTACCTTATTTTGATCCTGTAAACATTTTAATATACTCTTTTGATTGTACAGACACTTCAGTGTAACAGTGAGTTATACTGAGTGAGCATAAGAGTCACCATCTCTGACACAGACTGCCACTTGTTTGACACCATGCTTTTGCTCATAACCTGGGCAAGTTCATCTACTCCTCAACTCCCCTGGCTAATTCCTGCTCATCTTTTTTTCTTAATTAAAATTTTTGTATTTTTTGTTAGTTCATGTTTTCAGTAAATAATTATTACCTTTATTGTGGGGAGTTGGTACATGTACAAAACACATTTTAATCCTTCCTTTTTTTTCATATTCTACCTCTGCTCTACTTCCCTGCTCCCTCCAACTCTTGGTCCTTTCCAATTTTCAAATTAAGACTACACATCACTTCTCTCAGGATATTTTCCATGAATAACCCCAGCTCCCAAAACTAGGCTGAGTGTGGTCCTGTATACTTTCATCTATTTCCTCTAACCAACTCTTGTCATATTGCTTAAGTTTTTATTGTTTGCATTAGATCTTATGAGTTCCAGAAAGACTTGTCTGTTGGTCACTGTTGTCTCCCAAGTGTTTGGAATTATGCCTGGACATAGTAAATATTTATATATTTGAATTTCTGAATGCAGAACTTAGCACAACATCATTTTTATTGTGAACTTTTGGATATGTCTCATTAGTTAATCTGCATTCTAGGAGGCCTCCATTCCATACAATTGGAAAGTAATGGGGGTTGGAAAGACAAGAGGGCCACATCAGACTCCCTGAAGGGTTACCCTTAAAAATCTCAATAAAACAGGGAAAAGCCAAGGGAGATACTGTCATTAGGTTTTAAAATTTACCATACTAGCTCTGTGTGCTTTTGATAAACACAAAAACACCTCCTTGAGGAAATGAGGGCCCCCACCCAAGCACAACATGGAAAATCGTAATTGAATTCAAGCCTGATCTTTTTCTTCAATGCATCTTTTTTTTCATTAAGTTTATTGGTACATTTAATGTAAACAATACAGTTACATTCATCATTGGGATCTCGTATCTTTACATGATGTATCTTGGTTCTTATTTTTTTCCCATTCCCCTGCCCTCCCTTCACCCCCTTCACCCTTCATGTTCTTATTTTTTTCCCATTCCCCTGCCCTCCCTTCACCCCCTTCACCCTTCCCTATTTACAAAACCTTTGTTTCCATTTTTTCCTTTTTTCATATATTTTCATTTCCTTTCCCCTACCCTTTGTACTTCCCCTCCTCCTTTAGCCCGTTTCTTCCTATTTCACATTATCAATTATACCATTTGAACCTTACTTACACTTTTAGTTTTTCACACCAGAGAAACTATTTGGTCTTCACTCATGTGTGTCCTATTTATTTTTTCACATAAGAGTGTGGCCTCAATGAATGCATCTTAAATAAGGGGCTTCCTTCTCTCCCAGGTGCCTTATTTACAGTGTAGGGTGGGGCTAGGAGAAGCATGTAGAATGCTGACTTATCTGAAATAAAATTTGGTTTTAAACTCCTATACCACATGTGAGATATTTTCTACTCCTATTCTTGCCATTACATACACACTGATGAAAAGGAGACACAAACAAGTGGTTCTTTGCTTACAGGTATAGAGTGTATTTGGAGAATGCCATGCCTCACTTTCATGTTAATGAAAATGGCTATATGCAGCCTTTTCCACCAGGGATGCAAAGGTTTGGGAATGTACAAACTCCTTTTGCTTGGAATGAATATTCTCTTTGTGTAAACCAGTGTCTTCTGCTGACATGAGAGTTGAGACCTAGGTTATATTCCTTGGTTGGGTGGCACAAGCCAGTTGAGGTGAGATTTTGAAGCAGCTGTGGGAGAGGCACAGGCCCCAGGATTGGCTGGACTGGAGGAAGTATTGCCAGAGCTGACTGTGTAGGGACTCTGGGCATCAGAAAAAGTCAAGGGCTCCTTCTCAGTATGGGGAGGCTGGGCCTCAGGGTCCTTTGTTGTCATCTTCAAGTTAGCTTCCCTGATGTGGTCTTTGGTGGGGGTTAGAACCTTCTTAACCTCTTTTGCCCTGGATTTGGCTACTGTCTCAGATTTAGAATGGAGAATAGGTTCCTCGTGGCTTTGACCTTTCACTTCAGGGTTAATCCAGTGTGAAAAGAATGTCATTGTATTCCCCAAGTCAACTTCTGGAGCACCTGAAAGGGTGAAGTTCTTGTGAGTTATGGGATCCCCTTACCTTATCCTCTGACTCATGGCTCCCCATATTTTTGCCCTACCAAATTTTTCCCTATAAAACATGGCCCTGAAAAGTGGATTTGAAAAAATGTGGCCTTTTTAAATGCCAGACTTGCAAACTTTGGCCTAGTAAATGATGGTCCAATAAGTTGACACTTTAAGGTCTGACCTTCAAGTCTTATCAGGTTTGGCATTCTCAGGCATTCCTATTTCAGTAAGATTATTCACTTTAGTCTAATAGTCTTGCAGATCATTATTATCTGGTCTTTTGGGCTCAAAGGATCATAGAGGATGCCCTGGAAATAAAAGATAATAGAGCAGATGGTAAAGGTGCTGGCATGGAATAGCAAGCTGAGAGAATGGAGATGGTGATTCTGCAGCTTTAGACAAATCCTTGTCAATCTCTATTCATGCGAGACAACCATGTCAGGTAAACTAAAGTTCTACGTGATAAAGATCCTGAGATACATTTGTGAAGTGAGGGCTCTATAGTTCTGCTTAGAAGTCCTCTGTTGGCCCCCAACCTTGGCACAGTGGGTGTTTGCTTCTGGTTAGGGAGAGCTTCAAGGCTATATCTCCTTATGATTCTCAGCTGCTTTGAAATTTCCTGGGTCCTTTGTTTTTTACATTAGGGTAGAGACTTGTTTTCACCATTGCAGAGGCCTAGGCTAAGGGGTCAAGAAATCATCCAGACTAGGTTTTTCACTTTGGCCTCTAGCTATACACAAAGTACTTGAGCCTCTGTCATGTCTCCAGTGGGTTGTGAGGTCTCAAGAGATGCACTAGGCAGAACCATGGGATATTGCTTTGGAACTAGGTTGCCTTTGATTCTCCTGAACTATCTTTAGTTCACATATAGACTCCTTTTTTAAGCAGACCCATTTGGTATCTGGGACACATGGAATACCTGGTGGGGTAGGGAGCTCCTGAGGCAATGTTTTCCTTTAGTTGTTGAGATCCTAAATGTTTACCATGTGGAGATATACTTTGGATGGCCAAAACTTGTTCCCTGTATGCCTTTGTCTGTATGGAACTTCCCTCAATGTATCTCCATGCATTTCTTTTTCGTGATGGAATTGAGTTTGGGCAAAATAAGGTGCCTTAAGTGATTAGGGGCTGACAGGATCTGTCTCACTCGAGTCGCCATCTCCATTCACTTGCACTTCAGGCTGGAATACTTGTACACTGTCTGCAAAAGGTTTGTTAGCACCTTAAAAGCATGACCTACCACTTAATACCCTGCTGTTCAAGTAAGATTGAGTCAGAGTTTTATGATAGGCCCAGGTACCATTTTTGTGACTACAGATTGGTTGATCATTGCTGGTTATACCCTAGAGAGAGCCACAAAATAGGAAGTAGGTACTCCTGACAGTAATGCAACCTTGTCTCTGCTTTCTAAATGATTTATTGGAACCAAGGCACAGGCAGCTCAGGGTCATCAGTAAAAGAGTCTGGTGAGATATATTGCTTCTGGCCAAGGCCTGTAATTATTTAAGGAGTCACTTTCTGACATGTGTGTGACCTGATTGTTTCCTCCAGGTTTAGGGGCTTGCTTTCCAGAGGACAGGAGAACAAAGTTGCTGCCAGGGTATACAATATCCCAGGTATGCAATAGACCCAATAATTTGCAGTTCTGGAAACTACAGCTGTGGGCAGGGATAGTGCCCCAGCAGATCTTCACACATTTGCAACCTGTGTGGCTCTGCAATGTTGCTTCAGGCTGAGCAAGCAATTATGGACTAGCGGTTTTGCCAAAATAGATCAGTATGGTCACTAACCTCACTAGGTCTGTGGCCAGGATGGGAGAGACTTGTATAGTCAAAATTGCTGCTTGGAGCAAGGGACAGGAGAAATTGCTGAATGTTTGGTGGCAGCTCCAGCAATGGTAAATCAACCCACTATTTCCTCCACTTCTGGAGGTTGAACTCTAGCAGCCTTTGAGTATGTTCCAGGGCAATGCTGCTACTATCCTGAGGACTGAAATGGCATCTCCTAATCAGGGAGGGCCCTGGGTCTGGTGGGCCATTGTCTCAGGGTCATGTTGTGCGATTCTCTGCATCTACAGTCTGGACAATAGCTGGAAAACCCCACTGGAGGGGTTGCTGCCTCTATAGCAAGTGCCACACTAAGGCTTCACATCTGACCAGAGTCACAAGTGAGACATTGATCCAGGCTTATTGATGGTCAGGTAGAGAAGTACAAACTTGGAAATGTGGGAAAGAATTGGAGGCTAATTTAAGTGGAGAAAATTTTAGACAGTGCAGAAATTAAGGAGGAATTAGTAAAGAAAAATGACCCAGCTTTCCCTTTTGTAGAACAATCTCTAGAATCATACCAAAAACTCATTGCACAGAAGAGAGAATTTACAGAAAGTTACCTAGAGATGGTACATTGGAGCCTCAGCATGTCCCCCAGAGAATAGACAGATGCTATTTAAAAGCTGATAGGTAGAAGCCAGTAGAGCCAGAACCATGGGATGGGGTTTGGGATTTAGTCACAACGATATTTCTGTTCTGTGGTGTTCAGGCTGGCCTCCCATTAACCCTAGGGTCCAGGAGAGAAGAAGAAGAAAGCCCAATCTTTTTGTTTTGCAGGCTTTGAAAATATTGGCAATAGTGTGGTATAAACTGCCACAGGAACTCCCCACAGATCATGGAAGCCCTCAGTGTAAATATAATATACATTTGTATCTTTCTACTTGAAGGTACCTCAGGGCCTTTTGGACATAGGTACAGAAGGCAAAGGGAATGCAAGACTGTAAAGTGATGTCTTAGGTTCAGGAGCTAGGGTCCAGGGAAAAAGTTTACTATTCAAGGGCTGCTTACCTTGGTTCATCAGGGCAAGTGTTGACTTACTCTTTGTCTTCTCCTTCCAGCTCACAGGATTCCCAAATACCTCAAGGCTTGAAGAAGAGCGAGCTCTTGTATCTTGGAACACATGTGGTACTTGAAATTCTTGTCTTGGGTGCAGGTGATCAGACCAATAATCTTGGATGCTGACAGAACTAATTGATGGGGCAGCTGACTGAGTTAAAGATTTCTGATCCGTTAATTGTGACAGTGTGGTGTGAGGTGTCAGTAAAATCTCTCTGGAGTTCTGGAATCCCAGCTTCTGATTCTGTTCAAAAGACACAGTTAATGTGGACAAAAATCCCTAGACAAGAAGAGCCCCATGATGGCTTTGATAAAGTGGGGGAGATCTGATTGTTTTTACCCACAAGCATCTGCTGAATCTTCAGAGCCATGGCATTGCAGATTTGGCAGGAGGGATCTGCACACAGGAGCCGCCGCACATGTCCTTCCTGGGGAAGCCACCCCTTACTGGAAAGGGAAAGATGGAAACCATTAATGATGGCAAAACCTCCTTCCTTGGAAGACTATGGCCTGGGGATTACTGACTCTCACCACAAGTCCCATTAAGTCCTGGGCCTACATACACTGTGGAAATTGAGGTCCTTGTGAAATCCTTAATTCTGATAAATATGGGACATCCCTGCCACAACACTTAGCATCCCTCCCACGATGGCAGTCAGTCCCATTCTCTAGACATCTGGAGAAGATGACCAGTTCTTGTATGGGGGTGCCCCTGAAACTGGCCTCCCAGAAGACAGACCAGAGGGTTATCAGTAGGGTCCAGCCAGACCCAGGACTCTTCCCTTGAAGGTCTGTACCTGTAAAGAGAATGACAATGATTTCTTCATGAAAGATACATTCTTTATTGGGGGGAGGGTACTGGGGATTACACCCAGGGCCTTTGCACTGAGCTATAACCCTAGCCCCAGTTTTATAATTTTTTTCAAGACAGGGTCTAAGTTGCCCTCTGGGTAGGCTAAACTTATGATTCTCCCAGAGTGATGGAATTACAGGTGTGCACCATCACACCCAGCCAAAATCCATTCTCTTGACCTTATGGCTGAGTGCAGCCCATATTGTGTCTCTTATTAATTATACACAGATAAAATATTAAATTATAGGAACAACTGTGCCCCTAGCCCTGTGCAGAATTGAATGATTCTTCCCTCTTGAGATGTCTGAACCACCCTGTATCCTGACAACTCAATCACTGACATATCCTCAAACCACATTTATGTCTCCCTTCCAGCCCTTAACTCCACTTCTCATTCCTGACCCAGGGTCGAGCCAAGAAATCATAGTACAGGCTTAGAGCTGGGAGACTAGAGAGCAAGAAATCACCTTTTCATGATAGACAGTAGGTTCTGCAGCTTCTCAGCTTCTTTCTGGGAGGTTCTCTTAGCTGGGGAACCAAGAGATAGTGGTAAATAGTAGAAGACTTGGGATGTCCTATGGATAGCCCGAAGGTCTTTGAATGAGAAGAGAGTGAAAACCCAGGGATTAATTATCTGTGTCATAAATTAATTAATGCTCTGTGTACCACTTAACTTTTTACAGTGTGTTGTCCCCACCTAATCTCATTTGATTTTTACAACACACGGGGCGTGAGGCAGGATCACTGGCGTTATACCCATCTTAAGGAGAGTGAGATTGAGAGATGAAGTCACTTCCACTGGGTTATAAAACTAGCAAATTACACAGTTATAACATCTGCTCTACTTTTTTATTCTACATTCTACTCCTTATTCTTCATTCTCAGGAAGGTAGAGAATTTTGGAAAGTTTCTAGCCTCTGATTTCCAACCAGGGTAAGTATTTTGTTAGGAGTTATCTTTGGGAATATTCAAATCTTCCATAGTTAATGCACTTGGGTTCTGGCACCACTTTCAGGGTTCTCTCAGTATCTATTGGAACTCATTCACAGCAGATGCGGGTCAGAAGAAAGTGTTAAACTGTACCTCTTAATGTTCTCTCTCTAGACCTGTGTTTGACTCTTTGATGATGCTTAAAGACAAAAGCATTAGAAAGTGAAGCTGAGTCACCATTTTCTTTTCATGTCTAAAATGATACAAAACCCATAAAAATTTCCCAATCTTTTTCTTCTATTCCAGTTTTATACTTTTTTTACCTTTTTCATACCCTGTTCTTTTCACATCAGATTTTCCTTCTCTGCTTATTTACTTCTACTCCTTTTATACTTTTTTTACCTTTTTCATACCCTGTTCTTTTCACATCAGATTTTCCTTCTCTGCTTATTTCTGACTCACTTTGATCTTCTTCCTACTTTATACCTTTACCCACATTCCATGCACAAAAAATATAAGGAGTTCTAGGTGAGAAAGGAGGAAAGTGAAACCATTTAAAGGATGCGATGATACTAATAACCAAAGGACTCTGGGCATTAAAGGTTATAAATGGCTACCAAACAGGATAATGACTCAAACTAGGAGCCATTCTGGGACTCAACCCCACCCCCATTAATAAAATGAAGAAGCCGAGTGTGGTGGCACATGTAATCTCAGCACTCTGGGAGGCTAAGGCAAGATGATTCCCTGAGCGACTTAGTGACTTAGTCGGACCCTGTCTCAAATTAAAAAATAAAAGGCTGGGATGTATCTCAGTGCAAAAGCCCTGAGTTTAACCTCCAGTGAAAAAAGAAAGGAGAGGAGAAAAGGGGAGAAGAGGGAAGGAGGCAGGAGGGGAGGAGTGGGAAGGGCCCGGGAGGAGAGTGGAGGAGTGGAGAGGGGAAAGAAGAGGAGAGGACGGGTAAGGACATCAGCAGAAAGTGAAGGAATTAAATCTTTCTAGAAGCTTATCATTTAGTCATGGTCATAGTGTTTCCCTACCTGGCAACAGCTCTTACTAGGTCTCAACATTAATTTTTGGTGCCTTTTTTTCACTTGCCAAATAATTAATACAATAATTAAGATGGATCCATAGGTATATAAGGGATAGTCCACATCCCACAGAAGAAAGGCAGGTCTCAACATGATCTAAACCTCACTAACCATCCCTTTTCCTAGGCTTCCAAGTCTTGGAATCTAATGCCTCCAGGTTCTAGGCCTTGCCTCACAGATAATGGATGCAGACAACTGGACTACATCACAAAGCCCTCCTGTTCCACAAAGCAGGCACAGCATCACAGAGTTTTATTTGTCTTAGAGAAGCACATGTGGGTAATTCACTTGTTCATAGGAGGATTTCTGGTTATCTGTGTAGGCTTGCAGAGCCTGGGATAAAAGACGCCCAGGTAACAGGCAGCATATGCCCTTTCAAGCTCTTTCTACTCCTGAACCCATTAGTTTATCTCTCTATTACTACAACAGTGGCACTTATTCCCCCAGATAACAGTGCCTGTGTATACTGTGTGGAGTTTGAGGTAGTGGCCAAGTCAGAGGAAGTCCATGAAGTACATCATCTGTGTTAGTAAGTTAACTAAGAGATACTCAAGAAGATAAAGCAGGTTAAGTCTTGGAAATATATTCTTGACGTCACAGACAATAATGAATGGTTAGTATCAAGAGGTTCAGGAAGAGGATTGTGTAAGATGTGTCAAGGAAAGCAAAAAACTGCTGATGACCTTTTAAATATTTGTGAGAATCAAGACTCCTCCTGGCTGTGTGATCTAGTTGAGATTGGTGGGAAGTATATGTAAACACTACCTTCCCTAGAGGCCTGTGAATGAGGCTTTCTTCTGGAGCTCTAAGCCTCAATTTTCCAGAACTGTCACCACAGGTCTTGCCATAATATGGCTTATTCATAGACATAGGATATTTGAAAGACTTTTGATTCAGGGCCACAGACTTGTGGCTCTTCGGTTGAATCCACCATGGCTGGAATGTTTGGCTGAGTATTTTATGTAAATCTATCTTTAAGCATATTAGGATTTCCCCCATTCAACACCAATATTTACCATTCTTATGTCCACTGATTCAGACATTAATGTTAATTTCATGGCCTCTTACAACATGATAGAATGTCTCCAACACTACAAGGTTTCTCAATTTCCTTCAGAAATTCTTCCTGAGTAATGAGTGGTCATAGGTCCCAAATCTCTGAAAAGGCCACTTAGCCTTCCTCCAGTCCCCAGTCTTCCTCCAAACAGGCATTGTGAGTACTGACTGTGTGCTCAGCTCTGAAATGGGCAGTGTTAAAGATAGAAAGACATCTGAGTTGTGTTGGCTGCTATTAAGACACTCAAAAATATAGTTTCTTTCTTTCTTTCTTTTGTTGTTGTTTTGTTGTTGTTGTTTGTTTGTTGTTTTGTTTTGGTTTGGTTTTTGAGACAGGGTCTCACTATGTAGTTGATTCTGACCTGGAACTCACTATGTAGCCCAGGCTGGTCTTGAACTCACAGCAATTCTCCTGCCTCAGCCTCCCAAGTGCTGGGATTACAGGTGTGTGCCACCACACCCTGCTTTTAAAAATATAGTTTCGAAGGTTAGACTCATTCACATGAATCAAGAGCCAAACTTACCAGGAGCTGAGAGAGGGGGGAAATGGGACTTGGTATTTAGTGGGTACAGAATTTCTTTTTGGGGTGATGAATAAATGCTGGAAGTGAATAGTGGTAATGATTGCCCAACATTTTAAGTAGTCTTCATGCCACTGAATTGTATAGTTAGAATGGGGCTGGGGATGTAGCTCAGTGGTAGAGCACTTGCCTAGGTTGTGCAAGGCAGTAGGTTCAATTCTCAGCACCATAGAAGAGATTAAAATGATAAATTTTATATTAAGTATATCTTAACACAAAACCAAGCAACCAAAAAATCATTAACGTGGTCATTTTTACTAGCGATAAGGAAGAATATTTTGAAAATTATTTCACAAAGAAGTAGATTACTATTTTTCTTAAATATTCTTTGTATAGTTACAAAAGCAAAATAGATCTTTACATTAGAGATAATTTAAGAAAAGCCCCACATGAAGATGGGATATTTTGAGCCACTTCAGTTTTTTTCTCTGAACATGCAAGTTCCATTCCAAAAAGATTCCAAAAAGAAAATCTGGAGTCCAAAATACTTCTGGTCTCAGCATTTCAGATAAAGGATACTCAATCTGTATTGCTTTTTAAAAAATGGTATCATCCTATTGCCTACGCTGATCTCCAACTCCTGAGCTCAAAAGATCCTTCTACCTCAGCTTCCTGGGTGCTGGGACTGTAGGCACCTGGCTATATTAAATTTACTCCCAGCCAGCCAACTCTTGGTTATAGCCGCTTCTGTTGCTTTCTAGGCTGCTGCTGACAGTTCTATCTCCCATCACCTGATCTTTTGTCCCAGGCAAAAGAACACAGAAAACCTTGCTCCTGCCAACCAGTGTGCTGCTTACCTTGCAAATAACACAGCCACTGTCATCCCACTAAGCTGTTAAAACCTTCTGCTACAGACTCTATCCAGCAGCCTCCCCAGCCCTTGCTCCTGTCTCAGAGCTGAGGAGTTAAAGATGCTTGCTAAACCCAAAAGGTTTTTTTGCATTGCTTTTTATAGGTTAGTTTACTGATCTGATCCTAATTGGCAGAAAGTGCCTACTTGGATGCTGGAATCAGAGTCTTTCTAAATAGGGGCACATTTACATGATGAACGCTGCTCAGCCTTTCATTTTTATTGATGTGGGTATAGACCATCACATTTGCCCTTTACCTCAATGCTTGATCAGCATACAAAAGAAATGAAGTACATGGAAAGTCTTTGTGAACTACTCACCTGTAAAGGATTTTTATTCATTTGTTTCTAGGCAACTTGTTCAAAGCCAGATCCTACTTCCATTAGAGTGCTGCAATCTACAATTATTGTTATTGAATTTCTTATAGAAGCTGTTTGTGGCTACTGATTCATAAACATTATGTGTCATATAGCCTTGGGAGGAAAAGTCCTGAAATGCCACTGATGTGAGTCTTGTCCCTCCACACCAGCCTTTGGAAGGTTTCACGGTGTCTCAGACAATACCACAGAGCAGGTTAAGATGTACCAATATGTTGGAGACAATGAAACATAATTTATGCCATTCCACAGCAACATTTTTATACATAAACATCTTTGCTAATGCCAAAGGGCCAAAATTTCCAAGAGTTGGACAAAAAGCCTCAGAGTAATGATAGGCAGCAAGACCACCAGAGCTCACAAGTAGATTGCTGCACTGTGCACCAGTGCCGTAGACATTGGTAGACGACAGCTAGCGGCACTAGAGGGCAGCACCTGCACGACCAATATTTCTAATCCTGGGGAGGCTCAGGAGTGAAACTTTATAAGGTTATCTGCTGGAGTGGCTCTGGATCACATCAATCCTAGCCTTACATCAGGATCACTGGGACATTTGTGAAAATACAGATTCCTTGGCCTCATCCCAGACTTAATGAATAAGAATTCTCTAGGAGTAGAGTTCAGTATTATGTATTAAATAACTATTAAAGTTAATCATTAAGCAGTAGTGTTCTGGGCTATCTGTATGTGTTTAGGAAAGACTAACCTCCAAAAAGTGATAATTCTCACTGTTACTAGGCTGTGATGAGACTCTGATGAAAGAAACTGTCTCTCTCCTCACATTTCAGTGGTACAGGCTTTACTTACGGGGACCCTAGGGATCCAAAGACCTATAAAGAAATTGGAGTATGGTTTGTGTCTAGCCAAAGACCACAGCTCAGAGGTGGTATCTTCATCAAGAGTTCTCCATATTCTCAGAAGTTATAAGAACATAAAGAAAAAAGGGAAGACATAAATTACCAGTATGGAGAATGAGAGGTAACTTACCACAAATTCCAAAGGTATTTAAAAGGAAAATGAAATGAAAATTGTAATGTGCATAAACTGACAGCTTAGATAAGATGGACTCCCATTGTTTGGATGTGTTCCCTCAAAATGTATGTGTTAAAAGTTAATCCTCAACACAACAGTGTTGGAAAGTGTTAATATTGCTATAAAATAAGACTAGAAATGAGTTCTTTATCTTCTGCCATGTGGGGACACAGCATTCAACCCCTTTTTCCTCACCACCTTCTGCTTCATGAGGATGAGGTAAGAGGGCCTTCACCATATGCTGGCACATCATCATGAAAAAATAAGACTAAAGTTGCAGGCTGAGTTCAAGATTTCTAATAAATATATAGTAATTGAAACAGAGTGGTACTGGCATAGAGAGTGACAAATAGTTCAGTGGACTAGAATAGAGACTCCATAAATAGACCTACACACATATAGACAAATTTTTCCCCCCTGTTAAATTTATTGGTACATTTAAAGCAAATAGTACAGTTACATTTATCATTGGGTTCTTGTACCTTTACAGGATATCTCTTGGTTCTTCTTTCTTCCCCATACCCCTGCCCCTCCCTTTACCTCCTTCACCCTTTCCTATTTACAAAAACTTTGCTTCCATTTTTTCCTTTTTTCACATTTTTTCTTTCCCTTCCCCTTCCCACTTCCCCTTTAGCCATTTGCTTCCTATTTCACCCTCTCTACTATACCACTTGAACCTGATTTACATTCTTAGTTTTTTATACCAGAGAAACTATTTGGTATTTCCTCAAGTGTGTCCTATCTATTTCACTTAAGAGTATGGCCTCAATGTGCGTCCATTTAGCTATAAATGTTTCTAGTTTCTCATTCTTTATGGCTGAGTAGTCCTCCATTTTATAGAGAAACCACATCTTTATCCAGTCTCCAGTTGATGGGCATTTGGGCTGTTTCCAAGTTTTAGCTATTTCAAACTGTGGCGCTATAAACATTGGTGAGCATATATCACTGTGGTATGATTCTTTTAATTCTTTTGGAAAGATACCTAGCAGAGGGATAGCTGGGACAAATGGGATCTCTAATCCTAGTTCTCTGAGGTATCTCCATATTGATTTTGACAGTGATGCAAAAGTAATTCAGAGAGAAAAGGATAGTCTCATCAGCAAATGACTCTGGAACAATTGATGTCAATATGCAAAAGCAGTTCATGTCAATCCATTCCTCTCACCATACACAAATATCAATTCAATCAGAACATGAGAATGGAAATATATTAATGTCATTGAACTGTACACTTAAAATGGTTAAAATAGTAAATGTTGTACATATACCATACATTTCATCACAACAAAAAGATTGGCATTTGTAAAAAGTATCTAGAAATATTCATGAACATCTTTATTAATGCTATTCTTTTGCAGATACTTTTACAGTATAGCAGAATAAGAGACAGTACTTGCAATTCATTTTAAATTTGTGGGCTTTTTATGTCTACAAAATACAGGATGTTCC